TCATGTTATATTATGGATATATAAGCATGAAAAACAGCCTAAACATGCTCAACACACACTCAAGCATAGGCTTTCTCAAGAGGCCAAGACATGCCCTTTTCAAGGACAACAAGGAGAGGGGGTGGCCCTCTCCTTCTTGGGACTTCAAGGTATCATCTTCACCACTGAAATCCCTCAAGATTTCAGTGGTGAAGAGACCCCAACACCAAAATCCCGGAGCTAGCACAAAATGGCCCAAAATGAGGCCTTTCAAGGCCTAAGGGTGGTCAACAACCCTCAAACCAAGAAACACTCTTAATAAACAATAAAGAGGGCCTAAAAACAGAACTTTTTTATGTTATACAATAAGCACAAAAACAGCTCTAAGATAGGTAGAAAAACAATGTAAAAATGGGGAATAAAGGTGTAAGTTCTTACCCTTGAAGCCTTCTTCAACAAATGGTGCTCCAATGGCCTCCTTTAGCTTGAATCCAACACCAAGACTTCAAAATCAGCCCCTTTGAACCTCAGTTCCAAGAGGAAGGTGAAACACTAGGTGTTTGTGTGCAATAGTAAGACACAAAACACCTAGTGCACAAATGAAAGGGAAAGAGAGATAGAAAATGATATAACTCAAACCCTAGAACCAAAACTCAACAATGGTGTCTAAGCTCTCAAAATATCCTAAGTCTCTCACCTTTTTGTTACAAGAGAGAGCCTCTCTCTATATGTTCTTGTGTAAAGCTTACAAGACAAGCTTACAAAGGGAGATCCCCTCCATACACGTGTATGGAGGGATGCAAAAGCAAGACAGCTGTCTAAAAATATCTGCAAAAGAAGATGAACAGTAATCGGCCGGCCAAAAATACCATCTTGGCCAAAAAGAGTGCCGGCCGGCAGTAAAAAGTGCTGACCGGCAACAAATAGTGCCGACCGGCAATATATATTGCCGGTGGCAGCAAAAACCAGCCGGTGGCCTCTAGCCACTGCCGGTGGTGGGTGGGGATGGTCTACAACCCCTACCCTGCCTCTCAAAGGCAAGATGCAAGTGTTCGGTGCAAAACCAGACACTAAACGGTCAAGTTCGGAGATCCTGAGGCAAGGCGCGCGAGTCGAGACCTCCGGGAACTCCAAACGAACACAAACATGGATAATCACCAAGTGTTCAAACGGTGACGTCCAAGTCTTGAGGACGGTCAAAAATGGGGTGTCTATAGCTGGGCCTCAGAACGCCTCTTCCCAGCAGCGAGTTGGGACTTGTCACTTTCATGCAACTTAGAAATCGGCAAGGTGTCCTCAGTGTCAACCTGAGTCACCTTGGCCTTTGGTTGAGCCTTTTTTATTCTTTTCAGCTTTGAAGGAGGCTGGGTTTGTGTTGGCTGAGCGTCAATATCAGTTGGAATGCTAGCCAAGAGATCTTTGGCAACTGGTTTTGGGCGACCCATCTCGGCAGAAGAGGCTATTCGGCGTCGACGGCAGCGTTGGGATATTAGAATCAAGTATGGAGCCGAGGTTGACGGTTGCTTAGCTGGATCAGAGGTTGACCCTTGGTCTGTCCGAGATGTGGACGCGGTTTGTGAAGTTGTGGTAGATGGTGGAGAAAGGCTTTTCTTCTTCTTTTTTGGGACGTCGGGCAGAGCTGACTTGTATGTTGGAATAAAATTGAGAAGCAGAGGCGCCTTCCATTTATGGACTGGCAAGTCCAAAAGTTTCTTCAAATCCTTGCTGGGAATAAAGGATTGGCGAAAGTTTTTTGGTGGCTTAGGAACAGCTGCAAGAAAAACAGACATTAAGAAATAGATAAAGTATGAAAGACTTTAAAAAATAAGTAGGTATGAATGCAGGACTCTTACCATTGCCCTCTACAAAGACTGATCAAAGGAGAGGGAAGAGATGAAGGTCTTCATCTGGGGCGAACTCTCAGTTCCCCAAAGTAATGAAATAATCATCCCCAGCTCCCTTGCTAGAGTCAGGGAGGTCGGCAACGATTTTGTATTCAGTGGACCTCAGCTTGAGGTAGTAAACGTAGCCAATGTCTTTTTTAAGGCCACACATGGTGTAGCAATATTGGATGTCAGCTAATGTGATCTTAGCGTTTTCTTGTTTGGCTAAGGCTATGATACCATTGACTGTTCGATAGGAATTGATGGAAAGTTGCATTGGGTTTAACTTGTAATAATGAAGTATTTCACAAAAAAGGGTGTTGAGTGAGAGCCGAAGTCCACACTCAATGAAGGCTACCACAGAGAAAGGCATAGAGTCATCAGTAGGCATGATGGAGTCATCATCCTTGACCAACCTCAAATGGACGTCGGCTAGGATTTCAAACTCTTGTCTAAAGAACTTTAGTTTGGATGGGGTGTCTACCCTATGTTTCCACATACCAATGATATCGGCTTAATCGAAGGGGTTGGATTTCAGAAGATGTTTTGAAAGGGTTATTGGGACCTCGGCAAACACTTAGGTAAATGCAGGTTTCAGTTTTTTCCTAAATTATGGGTTCTACAAACAAATCCCAAACCTAAGTCTATGGAGATGAAGATTGAAGGAACGAATCTGGAAAACAGAAAAATAGGGATCCGTGTCAGAAAGAAGAATGGTGATGAAGACATCAAGAAATCAAGACAAAAAGATTGCACAAGTGTATCAGGCCAAGAACAGTGGCAACAGGCATGTGAACAGTGCGAGTGTTTAAGACATGGACAAAGAGCAAAATTATGAAATAAACATGTTCAGATACATGATTCGCAAATCAAATATTCGAGTAAAACAGCAATGGCGACTAAATAATAAAACAAAATTTCATGAAACACAACAAGAACTGAAAACCAGGAGGAATGGTGACTTAACAAAGAAAGGAAGTCGGTGTGAGGATCGCCGAGATCAGGTGACGGTCGTGAAGGCAACGGAACAATGGAAAATCCGTCGGAAGGGATGAATGGAACGAGTTGCAGAGCAAGGAGAGCTTGAACAATGGAGGATTTGGAGAGAAAAGCTAAAGAGAGAGAGAGAGAGAGAAACAGAGACAATGAAAATTGAAAGGGCAAAAAACGGAAACAAATTTTGTTAAAAATTGGAAACAGCGGCAAAAAGGCCATCAATGCGCCTAGGAGGACGGTTTTGTTAGACAGCGCACGCAGGCGCAAGACGATTTTTAGGCGCGTCACAGGTACGATCCAATATAGGAAAGACGCGTGTCGTAAACGGTTGAATTATTGTATGATAGCTCATACGCCTGAAAGGGTTCTTGAAATTCTTGTTCTTTAACGAAGACATGTCGGCCAACATAATGATCTCGGCTGAGATACTGTAAACCAATGTACTGGAAGAAAGGAATGATATAGGTTCCATCACCTCAGAATACCGAGGTAATAGAACCTAGGGGGTAGTCGTGGGGATATATTTTTTGAGTACTAACACGTGGCTAAGGTGACGCCGACGTGTCAGCCAAGGTGCCACATGTCCTGGTCATGACGCCGAGGTTATCTCGGCGAGGTCGAGGTTACCTCCGAAGATATCAGAATCCGAGATAAGCGGATAAGGCACAAGAGTCCTAGAAAAGGGAAAGACTACAGTTGGGAAAGAATAAGACACTTTGAGAGTTTATCCCAATCCTACTGGGAGTCCAAGATTGATAGTAATCCTAAGTCCGTTAGAGCTAGACTCCTGTTGGGACAAGGATTGAGTTAGCTATAAAAGAGAGGCACTCCCGTGGGTTTAAGGTACGCAATTTATATTTTGAACAGTGAGATTTGCACTATTAATTATCTTTGAGAGATATACTTACTTGACCATCGGAGTGCCCCCGGGTGGACGAACCACCGCCCGAATCTTTTCTTTCTATTGCAGGTCAGTTAGGTGTCATCTATTCTGCCTGTGTTCTCCAACTGAATACTAAGTTAGGCAGTGTGATCAAAAAATCACTCAAAAAGAAAGTCCAACATCGATTTTAGCAAATTGAATCAATTCACTTCACGATTCACCGATTTGGTTCACTGATTCACCTATGATTCATGGCTATTTGCGATTTATACAACCTATTCGTATTGATTACCCACTGAATCGAATTGCAAATCGTATGATTCTAATAATAGAGATTTCAACACATTTCAAAACCATAAAGAAACACAAACAATTATGCCTGACTTCTCTGCACTCCTTTTTCAATTATCCATAAAGAAATTGAAGAAAAAAAAATTCAATCAACACTACATAAACAAACCTGCTAGATGGTAGCTAAAATGACGCATGACAAATAATAGGGAACTAATAATTAGACGAAGCAACCATATGACAAAAAAAATGTTCTGCAATAAGAAATGAGTATATATGTTGTTATCATTTTTAATAACTTAGAAATGACAATATTAAATTTTTTTTAAAAAAATCGTAAACTAAAAACAGATTGAACAATTTTATTCCCAATGGAAGCCAAGCATCCTATTAAAGAATTAGGATACCTTTAATGGATTAACATGGTGCATTGAAATGCTACAGACAACAACTGCATAATAATAATAATAATAATAATAATAATAATAATAATAATAATAATAATAATAATAAGAAAAAAAAAATTCAAATAGCTCCAACTATTCAAATCCTCCCATAAGCAAAATATGAACCAACCCTTTTGGATCCATTTGGTTTGCTCATGGGAAGCAGCCAACGCACAGCCACAATAAACAATAAAAAAATAGATTCAAAAAAAAAAAAGTAAAAATTAGGCCACAATATTGATATTGTGTACTATTTGAATGAATATGAACACTGAAATTGCTGAAGAGGATGACACACCACAACTATGTAGTGAAGAAACAGCGCATTTTAAGGGAGAAAGAGAACCACTCATCAATTGATGAAGGTATTGTTGAAATATTGATGAAATTGTTTACCAAATCAATTGACAGAACTCAAGACAAGAAAGAAAGCATACCCACAAAAACACAAAAGCATGAGAGAGAGAGAGTACCCAAATGGAACTTAACAGTACTAAGAATGAGAATAAAGAAAAGACTTACTGGAAGAGAGTAGTTGGAATAGAGAAAACTTGCAGCTCTCAACCTTGGTCCTTGATGGACTTTGGGGGCCTACAAGTCGAAAAATAAAATTAAAAGCATCAGAGATAGAGGGAATGAAAGTTTAAAATTTTTAATCTCAGGCAAATGAAAGTTTCAAATGATCTTAATAAAACCGTGCCTATGTCATTCTAAAGAATAGAAAGCAAGCCCATTATCCCTTGTCCAAAAATTGCCTACTACTTATTATTAAAAATAACATCCAACTCCCACTGTTTGTATCACCATTTTGAATATATAACTCTATTTTTGCTAAACCTTACCACCATACACTACATTTACTTGGCCTGTTATAATAGATTCACTCACTATTTGAACAACAAAAAAGTAGAATTATATAAGTAGCTAGTTTAACTAAAAGAAAATAAACCATTTTAATTGAGTTATTTTACCGAACATGGTGTATGCATGAAGACACACACAAATACAGAGGGGTAAAGAGACAGATTTTAATTGAGGCAATATAAATGAGAAACAAATCACATAATATAAATGAGAAACACAATCAAACCCAAATGAGAAACATATCACATAATATAATTGAGGCCATTTGATTACCCCCTAAAATATTACACTCTCGTGTTTCATATGTTAGACACCCAACGAAAACCCAAATAAAAATTTTGAAGCCTTTTAGAGACCCATTATAGAAAAACATTTCAGAGACCTATGTGAGGCATTTCACAGAACATAACACACAAACATAAAAATAAAAAAATAGAAAAAAATAAAAATAAAAAATTGAACTGAGAAACCCTAAATATGCCTAGAAAATGGAGGAAATTTTGGAAGAGGATACCGATCTCTTTCTCGCTGGTTACGTCGACCGATCTACCTTGCATTTGATCAAACAGTGCACTCAAATCTCAGCAAAGTTGCCATAGGTAAAACCAAGAAAGGAGAGTGGGTAGAAGAGAGAGAGAGAGAGAGAGAGAGAGAGCATGACGCTGTGAGATGAGGTGTGTTTGGTACATATGAGCAGGAATCCAAAGAGGCAGACAAATGTTACGTATTTGGCCCTTAGATTTTGATTAGGATTGATCTGAATTGTTGGTTATGGCTCCAGTATTGAAGTTTCATCTTCCTCTTTCTCTCCCTGTGTCGGTGGGTTTGTGCGTTCCATCCTTCTGTAGACGTCCCCGAACGCCCCGGGAGGGATGAGTCCCGTTCTGTTCATTTGGGCTGACTACAGTTCGGACTCTCAAATTGTCACGGTTCTAAATCTGAACCAAAGAGTCCAAATCCGGCAAATCGTTTTGAGAAAATAGATTTTTTAGAAAGAAGTGCCAAACATGGACTGCTTTGCCAGATACAGAGTTGCCACCTAAATATTTTATTTTGGGAGAAATTTAGGAAACCCCGACTCGTTGCCTAAGGCCACGTGTCCGTCATCACCAAAGTTGCCTCAGCTCGGGAACTTGGGTACGATTGGAGAAGGTCACTTCGTGAGCACCCCCGCTCGCCCGATCAAAGATTGGCCTCTACTAACCATGATATCTAGTTTTGAAAACATTACGCGTTCTTATTCCGGTTATTAACCTAGATTTACTATGTGATGCACACAGCATACAAGTATAGACTGGATCGCCTGAATTGGAACAAATCATTTCATGTTTGTTTATTTTGAAAATGGTTTGATGGTGCTACCCGCAAGTAGGCTAAGACGAGGATTTGCCACCCTCGGGTAGGCTTAGAAAACATGATTTTGCCACCATCTAGTGGGCTTAAAACTCACAGTCAATGCGTTTATTCCAATTCAAATAATCCAACCTTCACCCACAGACATTCAGGCAGTTATATCACATAAGCAAAGAGCCTCATGGTAAGCATGCTATCATGGAAGTCACTCACACGCATGCAAGGATGCTAAAGCATAAAAACTTACCGAGTACTCTAAGCCAAAACAGAAGCTAATTAGAAATCCATGCATGATCCTAACTATACAAAAATGCCTAATGCAACACATGCAAAATGCAACTAAGATAGGCTCGGCTATTTTAAAGATGGCATACGAAATGCTACAACTAACATGTATTCAACTTGGAATTAAAAATACAATGTAGTTAGTATGATGCGCCGAGCCCGGTGCATGCAAAATAGATGAATGAATGCAAACATGCTGTCATACTGTATGCTAATTGAAACATGCCCTAATCTAACCATCATAAGCTGGTAAATAAAAGGGAGAAAGACGTGGGGTTAGAAGACATACATCACACACACGCACACTTATTACAACATTGCCCTCGCGCAGAGGGTCCGAAAGAATAATACAGTCCCAAATGAATAAATAATACAGTCCCGAATAAGTACAAAACCCTAATTAATTAACAAATTAATCTAGGAAAGCAATAAATTAGCACGCAAATCCATGGACCACCTCAGCTCTGTTTCGAATGATGAATGATGCATGCTCGGGTTGCCTTTGTCGGAAAATTTCTTGTGATGCCTCGGTTTGCCTCTGTTTGCAATTATTCTTGGGATGCGTGCCAGGCTTCGGAAGGCTGCTGATTTTTGATTTGCTGCAACAGAGAGCAACAAAGGAGCATGGCAAGATATTTTCACATATGTATGCATAACTACTCTTCGAGGAGTGTAGTCCTCGATCCTCGTGCCACCAATCACGCATATCGATGCATGATGGCCGAGGAGTCGGATTGCACGACTCAATATGAAATGAATGCACATATGGACACAACAAGGCCTAAACTCCATCATGGGTAATCCGGAATGTCGGCGACAGGGAATTGAGACACGTTCCGTCACTCGGAGTACGAAACGTCCCTCGTTTCCCGTGCTTTGGCTAACTCCTATCCCAAGCACTATGCAATATGCATGACATGCATGAATGCAATCCTAACATGCAACCTAGCATACACAATGCTATGAAATGGCATACACAATGCACGATGTAACGAGACATACACAATGCTCTAACATACAACCTAGCACAATGGACTTACACCAACATGAGTGGACCTCAGCCACACTCACATCAGTAGCCATTAGATGAAAATGAGACTCTCGAAATACGTGCACGCATGCATGCAAACCGAGGACCGAACCTAAGGCATCAAATGCCACTCTACCAAAGCATGACAAGGCATAAAATATGTCATACAAACATGCAAATTCCAGCACTAAAATATGATGCTAAACAGCCCCGAAACATGACAATATGGCACCCGATGGACAAGATGAACCCCGAAACTCAAAACTAGGCATACGCAATGACCTATAGCTATACAAAGCATGCATTATTTGATCATGAAGCATGAAGACAGAGTCAAGGCAGTCCCAAAACATGAACTTTCTTAGTTCGAAGCATGGCCAAAAGGTGCTAGCAAGATGGGCTAAAGTAGCATGCAATTTTGACTAGCAAACATGGTTTACATGGCAAGTGTATGAAGCATATGGAATCTCACCAAACCAGCAAAAATCAGTGAATAAAACATGTGAAAATAGGCCTAAATAACCACTGATATGCAACCATGGCATGCAAAAATGATGAGCTCCTTTAGAGGGCTATGCAAGGGATTCTTAAGCACATACAAGGTGGACAGTTAGCATGGCATAAAAAACTCTGGAAATCAAATATGATAGTCCCAAAACTCACCAAATTAACCCTGAAATGTGACTAGAAAGCATGCAAGATAGGGTCTTTTTGGAAGACCAAAATGACCACCAAACAAGTCAAGGTGATAGGGGGTCACCCCCCTCTGATTTGGAGGCTCAAAACAGTGTTCTAACCACTGAAAATCTACTAAATTTCAATGGCTATAAGGTCAAACCAAGCATGCAACAAGAGCTTAGGTGTAAGGCTCAAAACAAGGGACAATCAAGCATACAAGGAAGCATGAGATCTCAAATAAGAAAATTCCCTTAATAAAACATGAAGATGATTTCAAAACAAGCCTTTTTCCAGTTTATAACAAATCTCAAAAATGAACACAAATAGGGCTAATCTGTCATGCAAAAATGGCCCTTAAAGAGAGATTAGAGACAAGGGACAGCAGCTGGCCCCAAATGGCAAAGAGCCCTTCAAAAAAGTTGAATAGGAGCTCAAAATAAGATATTTCATAGTTTATGAAAAAGTCCAAAATAGCTCACAAATAAGCCTAAAATACTATGCAAAAATTGGCCTAAAAGAGAGATAAAGAGGCAAGTGATAGTAGGAGACCTTAAACAGAGGAGAGCCCTTCAACAATGTTGAAGAGAGGCTCAAAAAAAGTTATTTTACAGTTTATTACCAAGTCCAAAACAACTCACAAATAAGCCTAAAATACTATGCAAAAATTGGCCTAAAAGAGAGATAAAGAGGCAAGTGGTAGTAGGAGACCTCAAACAGCAGGAGGTCCTTGATCAAACATGAAAAGGGGCTCAAAATATGACTATTTACAGTTTAGGTCAGAGCCCAAAAATGCTTTCAAGCAAGGCTTAGATATAGAGCAAGAAAAGACTAAAAAAGGGAGAAAGAGGACTCACCCTTGAAGACCAATGAACCAGCAGCTTTTGGTTGAAGAAATGGTGCTCCTAACCTCTGGAAATAACCTCCAAGTTATTGGAATGGAGGATGGAGGTGTGGTGCTATGAGGTGGTGTAGAAATGGTCCAAGAACAAAGGTATTTGATGGTTGAATGAGAGAGATGAAGGATGTATGTATGCAAGGCTCCAATTGGTTTTTGTCAACCCTTAGAAATGGTGGAGAGGTGCTGGTCTTATAGAGGGAGAGAGGCAAGGAAAAGGGGGGGAAAATCAAATTCAAATTTCCCCCCCAAAAGTACCCCCCCGGATACAGAATCTGAGGGGAAACAAAATATACAGCTGAAACACATTTGGAGAGGGGGTTTAGGCCGACCAAGTTTAGAAGGTTCAGGTGGCCGGCCGGTCACCTCGCATGGCCGACCGGCTAGGGTTCAAAAGCGTCAATGAAGATTGCTGGCCGGCCACCCCAAATTGGTGGCCTCCCATGTGTGCACAACACAACTATGCAGTCAAAACCTAGAAAATATGAACCAGAAGAGAGAAAAGTCAACTTTTTAGAGGGGTTCAAAAGGGTCAAGGACAATTACTGGCAGACCTATACACATTGGTGGCCTCCCGGGTGTATACAACACAAATATGGGGCTTAGGGTCAAAGAAAGTAGCCCAATGGTGGTCAACATTGACTTTCAAGTGAGGAAAAACGGGCGACGGAGAGCGATGAAGAAATAAAGCTGGCTTTTCAGAACAATTGCTGGCCTCCCACCCTCCTATAAGCTTCCTAACCATGAAATCAAGGTCTCCACCAAAAATGAAACAAAATGGATGTAAAACGGAGGTTTGGGGGACCGAAACGCGCGGCCCGGGGCCCTGAAAATGTGCTGTTAAGCACCGGAGGTGGCGTCCGACCATGAAGTTGGTTTCTCGGGCCACAGTGTCCCTCAAAAGGGAGGAAATAAGTTGCATACCAAAAATCGGAGCAAACGGAGGTGGTTAGGCGGTCCCAAACCGAGGCACACGGCCAACGGCTCCAAAAAACCAGAAACCGGGCTCCGAACGGGAAAAATGGCCTACGACCACGAAACGTAGCCTACAGCCACTGAGAGATGATCTATGGGACCTCTCTCTCCCTTTGGGAAGAGAAAACAAAGAAAACAGAGCCTGGTTCGCAAATCGAGGCAAGACACGAAAGAGTCCAGAAGTACGGAGGCAAGGTTCGCAGCCGAGACTCTGAAACCTCAGAACGAGCACAATGTGCAATATCACCGAGCGCTTAATCAGTGACGTCTGAGTCTTAAGGTCGGTCAAAAATAGGGTGTCTACAGTTGCCCCTCTTTGACAGAACTCGGAAGTCACGCGTGACGGGAGTGAATGTCAAAGCCAAGAGACGATCCATTTTTGACAAGGCCAAAGACTTAGAAAAATAGGTGAGATAAACAGAGGTG